AGTATCGGGTGGTACATCTAAAGCCAGAAAAAAAAGTTACCACAGTTACCATGGGGAACCAATAAAACGCAAATTCATGCGTCACTCACCGACCATCTGAACACTGGGAGCGTGAGGAAGCATTCTGAGATTTTCAAACAACTTATTCTTGATTCGTTCAATGTAATCCGGGGTGTTAAGATTCGTCATATTACTTGGACTAATATGGAGCTTGAAATCCGGTCCAAAATACTCATAGTAGTCGTTGTAAGGAAGATCATTTGGAACTTCTGTGTTCAATGCAATCGAAGTCTCGTAGGTCCAACAACGTGCCACGTTACGAATGGTGTAACCGCCGCCTCCCAACATGAGCAGAGGAATCGGAAAAGAGCGCAGAAATTCCACGCACTTTCCATGACCCTTTAAACTGAGGTTGAAGCACCCGAGTCGGTCACCACTAAGAGAATCAGCACCGCATTGGAGGACAGCTGCACCAGGTCGGAATGTCTCCATCACCTTGGAGACAACAGGTCTGAAAATTTTCTCGTAACATTCATCATCCATACCATCGCGAAGAGGACAGTTCACGGCATAGTGCTTCCCCCGTCCAGCACCAATATCTTTAAGATCACCGGTTCCAGGAAAGTATTCACCATACTTGTGGAAGCTAACGGTCATGACGCGGTCGGTGGTGTAGAAGGCCTCCTCGACACCGTCCCCGTGGTGAATATCGATATCGACATAGAGGACGCGCTGATGGTACTTCAGAAGCTCAAGAATACCCATGACGATATCGTTAACGTAGCAGAAACCCGAAGCTTCGGATTTCTTGGCGTGATGAAGCCCACCACCCCAATTGATTGCAATATCTGTTTGTTGTTTGTTAAGCTTTACAGCCCCCGCAACCGAACCACCAGCAGAAAGTTGGCAAAACTCAAATAGGCCATCGAAGACGGGACAGTCTTCACCAACATTGAAGCGTTGCATTTGTTTAGTGTAGTCCAACATGTTATCCGGACGAATGCTTTGGAGGAATCTAATGTACTCATCACTGTGAAATTTGGTCATATCTTCAGCAGAGGCTTTCGAAGGCCGATACACCTCCATCTTTCGATAAAGGCCATAGTTAAGTAGGAGGTTGTGAGTCATGCGTATACGGTGCGGCTTCATAGGATGACCCTGACCGTAGTAGTAATTCCCGATGTCGCCTTAAAGATAATTTACAGAAATATTAAGTTACGTTAGGGAGGATCAACATCGTGTCACCTATCCGTACTACTCTATTCTAATGCTTCGGAGCGAACGCGCCACGGCACCCAAACAAGGCCTCAAAAGTTGGACCATCGATTTCAAAAAAAGTAATTGCAAAATAAACGAATGCGGTTAGAGATACATAATTTCATCCCATAAACTGTTCTATGCACATGGCCAGCGGCACACCGAAGTCATAAGATCCGATCCTACCCAAAGTGAGCCCAACTACGGTATGACTTCACTTCGAGATACAGAGCTTGAATCATACCAAAAATAAGGCGACATACCATCGTAATAATAGCACACTTTTTTATCGACAGCAGAGTCCATACTTTGAACGACGAAGATTGAGCCGTCCGCGGACAAAGCACGATACAGTAAAACGTTTACACAATATCCCACTTCTATGACAACGTTGACATAAATTTTTAGTTGCATTTTTATTTAAAAACCACAAAACTATTGTCATGAGAAACGATGTTGACCAATTTATCTATATGAAAC